GCCACCATCAAGGGCCTCAACACAACCACTCCGGGGAGAGAGCCCTTGCCTTATGGGACTGTCACACACAATGCCGTGGAGGTATATATCCACAGGGCATCGTTTCGCCTCAGTCAGAGTTTTGGCTGCTCTTAGGCTGTGACCCGGCTACGGTGCCTTGGCTGGATTTTCGTGGGCCTCCAGTTGCTTTGCGGAGGCTTTAGCCCAAGGCTCCCAAGACTCTCTGTTGGCATCCCAGGAGCCCTTCTACTTTGCGCCTCTTCCGGACATCGAAATCTTTGACGCAACACCTGCAGATTCAAAGGACGCTCCGATTCTGTTCGTTCCTCCTTTTTGAGAGCTGCAGGGGCCCGGTCCGAAATCATGGAAAAGAAGAATTTGTGGCTCGGTAACGCCAATCCACACTGATGTCCCTGCAGGACATCTTTCTCACGCCATCGTTCACAAGGTGGCGCATCCTATCTGAGTTTGATTCTACGCGGAAAGGTTGGACACGGCACGTGCATGGAGTTGGCATGCTGCTACCATTCTCGCAACAGAAGCTAGAGACGCAAGTTGTGCTCCAGCCTTGTCTCTGCAAGCCTGTTATCGGAAACGTGCAGGGAGACGAGCCAGGAGTCATCGGGCTCACGAACTCAAGAAGGTGTCTTGTCAGTCATGGACTCTGAGTCAGGGGGCGTGGTCAACCGATGCTACCTTGGATGGCGGAACGTTCACAGTAGAAGTGAGCAGCCATTTCTTTGCAAGACACGGACTGCTCCGCGAGCTTCGCTGCAGGTGGCGTCGACGCCAGCGAGGCGAGGCCACCACAGATGACACGTGCGAAGACCCTACAGAGACAAGCAAGCAAGGGCCAAGCTGCCGCTCGGTCACTTGTTGGTGTACATCCTGGGTTTGGAGTTACTGGCATGAAGACAACTTGTGCGCACTCCGTTTGGCTCACTAGACCCAGCTCAGGAAGACCTGGATGAAACGGAGGCACAGCTCAAAATTCATGTGGCTGAGGGGGGCGGAGGGGCGGAGCTGTTCAAAAGTCCGTAATCTGCGATAGTAGCTGTGAGTATTGTGCCTGAAAAGTCTTGAGGGGGCGCGGTCAACCAATACTACCCTTGACGCCGGAACGTTTAGGCCTAAGTATGCTTGTCCACCGTGGTCCACCGTGCTGGTATAGGAACCAGAACCCACAAGACATAGGAACTTCACTATGACTCAGACTGATCAGAATTCTTGTTTCTTCTGCAGCGCACAAGTGATTGAGCTTTTGTCGAAACGAGCTGCTTCACCGGAGTCCAGACGCAAAGCACCTCTTCGACAACCTATCCTGCATGCAGCACTCCTCAGCGATTGCACTATCAGACATCCCTGAGGCATGCCCATGCCATGTTCCTGCATGTGCGGATATGTGCGGGCAGGAGCCGGGAACACCTCCAACCTCCAAGGAACCTTGGAATGTTCCAATTCGTTCAATCACTTGTGGGTTTGGGTGCCGGGCTTCTCCCCCTCATTTGTTCGATGTTCGACCTTTCAAGCGGATGTCATGTTGAGAACCTGATCATTCAAGTTCCACATAAGTAGTTGGGGCACAGTTTGAGCACGACAATGTTATGTGCCGATTTCTGGTGCGTTCTGGTGTCGAATTGTCCTTTCCTTCCTTCAACCATGCAGCTTTGCTGGTGTGCCAAAACTTCTTGTGTAAAGGCCGCCGTCAGGAGGCAGGGGAGCAAAGAGCTGCGAGACGAGCCACAGGCACGGCCCTAAACCTACCGGAGTCTTGCCTGCGTGTGCTAGTGCGAGAGTCGAAACCGTAAACCTTCTACTGTAGTGCTGGAATAGGATTCAATTTCTGCCGCTCTTGCTTGTCAAAGGTCCCGGCAGCCACACCGTTTACCGAGGAGCACGTGTTCACCGAGCAAGCTGCGTGTGCATGCGTTCATCCTGTACAGGGACACACCATAAAGTTTCAAGGTTCAAACCTTGACCAAGTCCTGCTAACCATCTGGCCTTCTTCAGGCTCTTCATAAGATCGGCCGGTCTTGCAAGCTATGAAACCCTGATCCTGATCAGTGATAGCAGTTCTTGAGCTGTGACCGTTTTTGCAGGAGAAGGGCTTGGAGGTGTTCTACAAACTGGCCGAATACGAGGCCAGCGATGGCCTTGAAACCAAGAGTCCAACGTGATAATAACCTGGAATTAGGAACGGGAAGGGATACGCATTTCTGTGAGATGTGTTTTGCTTGTTTCCTTTCTGTGTGTTTGGCGAGGCCAGGGGCGGGTCCAAATTTTGGTTTAGGGGCTTCGGGTTTAGGGTTTAGGGTTTAGGGTTTAGGGTTTAGGGTTTAGGGTTTAGGGCCTTCGTTACCTACAGATCCTCAGGGGTCGTGCAGTTCGCAGGAGCTACATCACTCCGAACTTTCCAGGGCGCTGCGGATGCCTCTTGGATGGCAGGTTCTCTAGGCTTGGCGCCTCTTGTATGTATATCATCTATACCTATGAGAAACATATGTCGGGTACCAAAATGCTCATAATTTAGAGCACGCTCCTAAGACCACTGCTCTGCTACTTTGCTTTGAGAGCTGCCATTTACACCATGGAGTTCCCCAGCAATTGACACAGTGATGTAGCTCTTCAGCTCTGCTTTGTGGAACTTATCAGGTTGGGGTATATGCACCCCAACGACGATTGGATCGGGGATCTTCTACGCGCACCTCTGCTATACAGCCAGGCTTCTGAAGGCTTGCACGAAAGAGCGTCCCATAATGTAGCCTTCGCTGGTGTAGCTTTTCGGAAACTGGACTAGTTGGCGTTGTTTTGCCCAGCCGGACTCCACAGGCGATCGGCATCTTGGGATGGCATGGGTAGGCATGTTCCGTACACTGAGACCATCACGACCTTCAACACGATTCAAGTGAATGAGTTCTTCCTCCTCATTCATGGCTATGCCGCGAGCTGAGCTTTCTCAGATAATCTGGACACTGGCGACATTAAGTCAAGTTCAGGCTACGAGAAGCTCAAGCGAGGTTTCGTGTACTTGGCCGCTATTCCTGGCAGTAGCTTCTATAGTAGGCATGCCTTGGGGGCCATCAGTCAAAAGGAGGCTTCTGAACAGCTCTTCAAAAAATGCTGCCTGCGAGAAGCGCAGCACCAGGCTTGAGAAGGAGATAGGAATGTATTCATATTAATTGCAATGTGTTAACAAATAGTGATACTAATGATAAAAAGAATATTAAGGGTTCCAGGTTTGCACTCCCTTCCTTGCAAGATCTTGCAAGCAGGCGCAGCGCCATCACGACGAGTGCGCTGCAACCTTTGCAAAGTACGAGGCCGGGAGTCTTCAGGCCCTCTTCAAGAGCTCTATACGATGTGACAAGGCAAGCCTTGGATGAATTCACCCTAAACCCTAAACCCTAAAGGCTCAACTTCATCGGGATTATCTGAGGTTTACGCTGATAAGACTTGCGATGGAGCAAAGAACCCGGCGCAACAACTCCTCAACAGAATGCCCCGGGACGGCGGAGAGCAAGAGAGGGGGCGGCTGTTGTGGCCGCCTGGCCGCCCTATGCAGCCCCTACGCTACAAAAGACAGAGAGCTAACTGGCCTCTAGTCTACGAGAGAAGAAGGAGTGGTAGCTTACCTGATAAGAGGGGGACGCAGGCAGGCTTTCGCAGTGGAGCGCAGCGGGACTTTTTTTTTTGGGCGGGGGGGGGGGGGGGGGGGGGGATCCCTTGAGGATGGCCATGGACATATGAGCCGTGAAGCGCTTCGAGAGGCCGGAGACTCGGAGAAGATGCTAAGTCGCCGGCAAAATGTGGTAGGGTTATTTTAGAGTTCAAACTCCATCTGCTGTGGTGGTTCGGGCTAGGTGGGTGCAGCAATAGGATCCTGTTGGATCTTAGTTCTGAGGACACTGGAGGTGGATCTTGCTTGCAGAGTCTTGCAGAGCATTGTTTCATGGTGCATGCTGCCGTGCACAACGTTGCAACAGGCCATCCGCGACTTTGGTATAGAGCTTTTGCGCCCTGGCCGGAGATTGTTGTCCCGACTGCAGGATGCCAGCCTTGAAGATGAAAGTGGCATTTCCTTCCTTCAACTCAGACATAGTGCCCCTATGTGCAGCTTGCAGCTATTCAGCTTTGTTGCAGAGGCCTGAAGCCCCAAAGCCCTGATACAGTAGTTCTCGTATAGGAGCAGGTGCAAATCCAAAAGCAAAGAATATACACGCCGCGGGACAGCCGCCTCGGCCTGATGTGCACTGCAGGGAATGCGTTGGCTTTGACGTGTCGACTCGCGTGAAGTTACACAGAGCGCATCGCCCATTCCATGATTGCGGGATGCTTGGACATCAGCTTCAAGCAGATATCGGGAGTTTCTAGCTGTCAGGCAACATGTAGCGTCCACTTTGAGGTTTAACATGTCTTGAGATGCATTCGGCGGGCAACTCTCTCCAGGGGTCCGAGCGTCCACGGGCGATGCGTGTTCCAGCGGACCTTGTGTGAGGCAAATCTGCTCTTTAGGTGAATGGAAACGATTTGCACACGCGGCTTTTTGGACCTGGTGGCGCCAGGCTTGGGACGTCCGGCAAATTGCAAAACAAAAATGCCGATCGGTGCGGCCGTATCCCAGAACCCTACGCCATCCCTACGCCTACGCCACAGCGTGTGCCAAAAACTGGACTCTCCAACAGCCCTGGGTATTCTGACAGGTGGAGGGGGGGGGGTTTTGGAAGAACCTCTGGCGCTGTTGGCCGAGGCCGAGGCAAGTTTGTTGTGCCTTTCTGTCGGAAGGGCCATGAGTTCACACAGGCCGTATGTGGTGGACGAAGTGTTGGAGGAAGTGAGTGAGGCTGGGAGTTGACTCGAGGGAAATCAGCTGTCCCACGAGTAGATGATACCGGATACATTTGAAGCATCGCAGTTTTGAAGCCTTGACTACTTGTCGAGACTCTCTTGCAAGCAGCGTTGGTCCAAGGCAGAGGTGTGTCTTTATAGCTTCCCAATAGTCCATGCCGCTTCCTGGGCAACTGGCGGATGAAACGGATTTCCAGGTGCCAAGGCGCCCAGCTCCTGTGATAACATCCTTGTCCGAGGTGGATGTGAAGTTGGACCGGTTGGCAGAGAAGCTAGACATATGCATTGAGGAGCTGTCAAGCCTGAAGCTCGCAAATAGCAGAGGTCGTGATGTGGACGGGTTCTTGAAAAAACCGGAGACCGGCAATGCAGGGATGGCGCAGCTAACGCCCAGGAGTCAGGTCAGCTCAGTTCGAGCAGCTGCTGATGAGATGCGTTTGCCACTTTCCGCGAGCATGCCCATGCCGCGGTTCATGAGCACAGATGAGTCTGACGTGGAGTCTTTTGCACAGGCTCCAGCTGACAAGGCAGCCGACAAGACAGTCACATGGGCGACACCTTCGAGGCCGAACAGGGCTACAGCCCATGTCCGCGATCTGCAGACAGCGTGGCAGCTACAGGCGAAATCCCTGTCTGGTGGTGAAGGGAACGACCTGCAGAACGACCTGCAGCCCATCATGCGATTAGTCTATCGAAGCAGAGCAGAGCACGTGTGGGAATTTCTGGACGATCCCCAGTCCAGTAGGTTTGCTTGGTGGACATGGTCGCTTCTGCGCGTCCTAGTCTTGCTGTCTGCGTGCACTCCCTACCTGCAGCAGAGGCAGCCAGTGCTGGCTTTGGTGATGGACATGTCTTTTGATGTCATCTTCTTGGTCGAGTTTGTCAGTCGTTTGACAACCACCCCGTCTAAGCGAACCTATCTCAAAGATCCCCTGAATTGGGCAGACATGGTGTCTGCTCTGGGGCTTCCCCTCCGGGCATTCACAGGCTTGGTCCCTCTCGCATATCCTCCTACTACAGAGCTTGAAACCGTTCTGGTATTCTTCTTGCCCCTGGTTCGCTTGCTGAAGCTGCTCCGATACTTTGAATCATGTAAGCTACTGATGGATGCATGCGTCAATTCCATGGAGGCTGTGCCGTTCTTGGCATACATGGTGGCAGTCATGACTATGACATCGGCTACGGTTATTTATTTGGTGGAACCACGGAGCAATATACCAAGCCTGCCACATTCTCTTTGGCTTGCCATTGTGACCATGACGACGGTCGGCTACGGCGACTACTACCCTGAGACCTTTGCAGGCTGCATCGTGGTGGCCATGCTAACTTGTATCAGCGTACTTTTCCTGGCTTTGCCGGTTGCTTTGATGCACTGGTACCTAAGTCTTTGCAGTTGAATAGGAGTCTAGTTCGTTCGCCAGCTGTTGAAACGGGAGTACTAAGCATTCTAGTCAAACTCAGTGGTGACTTGGGGGTTTACGAAAACAGGGGACCCCAATATAGACCTGAAAAATAGGACCCCAAGAAGGTACCCCTGATATCGTAAACCCCCACTTCACCTTATGGAGCTGAGAGGTTGGAATCATTGGCAACGAGTTCTGGAACGTTTGGGAGAGCCGAAACGAAGTGTTGCTGGTGAACCGTATGCGTCGCTCTCTGAAGAAATGGGGCTACGCCGCAAACGACGTGAAAGTTCTCTTTGAATATGTGGTCATTTGGCTCAATTATAAACCCTCTTCAGGAAGGGAAAGGCTGCTTCGAGCTGCCTCCGTCGCGCTTACTTTTTTGATCTTTTCTCAGAAGCCAAGCTTATGCCACTCTAAGTTAGGGTCCCTTTTGGATCCTTTTGGGTTTTATTTGTTAGGTGCCGTATTACATGGAAACCCAAAACTCAAAAAGGGCCCCAAAATTAGAGAACTACACCCGTATCTGCCCAGGATCAGGATGCGGATGGTTGCCTGGATATGACGGACTTTCTGGAGCTCGTGCGGCAAATGCGGATTGGAATAAGTACAGAAAATGCGTTTAAGATCTTCACGATCTTCGATGATGACAAGAGTGGAACGCTTGACTGCGCAGAGTTCTTGCGACACATTTTTCCTGAGCAGTACGTCGAAAAGCAGCAACAGCACTCCCACTCCGTGCGCAAGTCCCAAGCACACGTGAGCCTGGCACTCCACCACCTGGAGACCATTCAGGCAGAAAAGTCTTGATGGATCCACCGGCTCAAATTCTCCTTGCTTCTTGCGCTGTGGAAAAGTCGATCCGGCAGCGTGTACAAAGGCGGGTCGATCGTTTGCATAGTACTGCACTTATTCAGGCTTATGGGCCTGCTGATGATGCTAATGTTTGCTCACCGCCGTGCACTGGCTTCGGTCCTTGCGCAGTAGGATTTCCTGATTTTTCATTGGTTTCTGAACAGGATGGGTCTCTCACGGTGTTTTGCTAGCTGCTGCGTAGTGATCTTAGACTTGCTGCGCGCATAGTTCTGCCCCCACACAGTGGTCCAGGCTCTGAGGTTGTCCATGTGACAGCAGCGCCGTGGATGCCGCGCCTGTCAAGCAGGCCAGGCAGTCCGTGGAAGATAGTGACCGACGGGCTGTAGCGGCCTGTGCACCTTCTTGGTGGAAAAAGGCTGCTCCCAATGCTGCAGAATAAGGGGAGTTGTGCCAGTAGCGGACATGGTGCAGGCCCCTTCGAGGCAGTATGTAACCACAAAGTGCATCTAGTGGCTGAGGCTCGGAGGACCGTTGCGTTTGATGGCCCGAGCCGACCCCTGCCTTGCAAGCGCATGTCCTCAGATAGCGCGCTGGCAGAGCCCAGTTGGGCAAGAGGGGGCCGGATGTCCATCCCCGGGCAAGTCGAGGAGGACGAGCTTCCGATAAACTCTTTCAAAGATGAAGGAGTCGGAGATGTCGGAGTGGGAAGTTCGAAGACTGCCTGGATGGGGATCGAGTCTCGATTAGACCGCCTGTCAGAGCAGATGGAGCTTTGCATCACCGAAATTGTGAATCTCAGAATGTCGGGGCAATTCCTTCATTCCATGCCAGGCACAAGACGAGTTTACCGTGCACCATCCAAACCAAAAGGCGATGGCTACTTGCCGGTGATTCCCTCAAATGGCCCCTTGCGCACGCAGCCCCCTGTGCCGAATGGGACGGAGGGACACCTCTCTCCCCCGGCTCTTCCCGAGTCCCTTGACTCCCCGCCCCACCGAAGCAGTGGCAATGGTGGCACCATGATCAGAATGGCCACAAGCGGGAGCCTGGGGGACCCTCACTCATACCACAGCTTTCGCGAGATGCGGGATGTATCAGGCAGCGAATGCGAAGCTGGAGATTTAGCTTCGGAGGAAGGGGAAGTTGGACGGAGACGTGTTCAGCAGGCCCGCAGTGTCGATCTCAAAGTTGCCTGGCGGATGCATGGAAAGCAGCTCCGCCGTCAGTTGGATGAAGAAACGCAGCCCCTCATGCGTCTCGTGTACCGCAGCCGAGCCGATTATGTGTGGGAGCTGCTCGATGATGCGAACTCGAGTGTGGCAGCATGGTGGATCTCCACGTTTCTGAAGCTGTTGGTGTTGTCCTCTCTCCTCGTCACAAACTTGCAAACGAGTGACGGCATCTGCATGCATCCGGTGCTTGCTGCTGTTTTGGAAACCAGCTTCGACAGCATTTTCCTTTTGGAGTTTACCTGCCGGCTGCTGTCAGCACCATCTAAGAAAGCTTACCTGGCAGATCTTTTGAACTGGCCTGACATGCTGTCTGCGACAGGGCTGCCACTGCGGGCGAGCATTGGGCTGGTGTTTGTAGTCCCGCACACCTGGCAACAGCTTTCCAGCACCTGTACTGTCGGCCGATCCACCCCGCCTTCCAGTGAGCAAGCAATCGTTCAAGGCATTCTGCTCTTCCTTCTTCCTCTCGTACGATTTTTGAAGCTGCTAAGATACTTTGACTCGTTCCGGTTACTGATCGATGCATGCAGAAACTCAGCTGAGTCCCTGCCTGTCCTTACGTACTTGATGGCAGTCATCACTTTTTTCTCAGCCACAGCCATCTATCTGTTAGAGCCAAGAGAGAATATCCCCACAATGCAGCATTCGCTGTGGCTGGCCATTGTAACTATGACCACGGTGGGCTATGGAGACTTCTATCCCGTATCGCTTGGGGGCTATGTGTCCGTGTCCATCCTGACATTTGTCAGCGTTCTTTTCTTGGCCTTGCCAGTTGGCATAATTGGCCACGAGTTTACGATGTGCTGGCAGAATCGCGACAAGGTTCTTCTTCTGACTCGGATTCGCAAGGGACTGCGCAAGTGGGGCTACAGTGCAAAAGACCTGAAGATCCTGTTTCGTTATGTCGACGCAGATGAGGACGGTAGCTTGAACATAGCTGAGTTCATGGAGCTTGTACGGCAGATGAGGGTGGGAGTCACGGCAGATAGTGCTCTGCACATTTTCCAGCTTTTTGATGACGATGCTAGTGGCAGCATTGACTACGGCGAATTCCTGCGCCATGTTTTCCCAGACGATTATGTAAAGGATCAACAGCAGAAGGGAGGCAGCATCATCTCGACGAGAGGAAAGGCTGAGCAAGCGCTGCACCACTTGGAGATGCTTCGTGTGAGAACGTCTGAGGAAGCGCCTTCCATAGACTCCCTTGCAGATTGAATTGCTAATGAGTCCTTCGTGTGTCACAAAGTGGGGAACCTGCGATCACTTCTGCAGTGATTCGCTAGCCCAAGCCTCCTCAGCGCCATACAGTGGCTTTAAGCTGAGACACCCTGAAGCACTTTGCACTTGCAGTTGCTGGAAAGGCTTCTGTAGCAGCAAGCGACAAGGCAGCATGCCGGTTAGTAAGCAAACTGCCACAACGGCATCGCCTCTACGTTCGGCGTGGGGTCCCTGCTGAAGGATTTAGGCTACAAAACTTGGCTACAAGTAAACTGTGCCTGTTGCTTAATTTGTTGCGAAGCTGCCTTTCTCGACACATCCCTTGGCAGGCAGTGCCCTGAAGTGTTCTCATTTATTACCACGCGGAGAATACTTGCGAATGCTGGAAGTGTTACCGTATGACATGGCATTTTCTCCGGTTGAAATGCTTGCCAGCTGCTTGTGCATCATGTGCGGTTTCACTCGAGGTTCACTTGAAATCCTCAGGCTTGGGAACATCGTCGGCGGTGAGTGGTGTGCAAACCCGACGCCGTTCTTTCAGCCCTCATGTCAACTCTTTTCTTCATGGTGCACCCTGGCCTGACAATAGACAAATCATGGCTTCAAACGGAACAGGTCCCTTTGCAATCTTCATGTTGATGGGCTTGCCGGCTGAACGACGTTCTGGGCCGAATGGCCGAATGGCCCCTCCGTGTGAACCGCTTGCACCTGAAGTGCTTCGGGAAAGTTTGCCATTTTCTCACTGGTCGTGGCAGGCGAGCCTTGTCTTAGCTTGTAAAACATTGCTCAGCGTAGTGCATCCTCGAAGTGTGTGCTGTGCCTGTGCTGGCCAGCACGAATGCGATGTTGCGACTGCTGCGGCTTAGTGAGACATCACCTTCTAGGTCTGCCAGGGGCTCTGGAAGACTATCCAGGCTGCGAGCTGTGAGCAATCGAAGATAATCGAAGTGTGAGCGGGCAGGGGATACATGTGCGTACGGCTGTGCTCGCACGGCAGAGTAGCTCTCAGAGGTCTTGCTGTCGCAGCGTCCTGCTGCAATACTTGTGCAACCTCGTACTCAGCGCCCGGCAGCCATGCGGTCTGGTGGTCTTCCAGTGCCAGAACACAAACCAGAAGCGACGCAATCGAAAAAGAAAGATAAAAAAAGGCTGGAGGTGGTTCGAAGCGATGAAGGCCTCACCCCCTGCTCCCCAGACTGTTTGCTCACGAGAGAAAGAAGCAGATATTATTAGGTCAGTTCTGTAAATTATGGTCCCTTTTTTTGAGGTCCTTATCACAAGGCGGCCCCCCTATTCCATAGGGTACCACAAAAAAGGGCCTATAAAACTCGAGCTGTCCTAATCACATTTTAGCACTTCAGGGCTTATGAGGTTTGACACGCTCCTGAGCTGCTAGAGGTACCATGGGAGTATAATGTGGGGAACACAACGCAAGTGTATGCACAGGTGATATGCTCTAGCAAAAAAGTAGACGTCTATTATATACGTGCAGAATTGCTTGCTTAGTTATCTGCTAATTTATATACACATGTATGTATACGACGACTTATTTTACGGGAAGGTATTGCTGGGATCCTCAGGGCTAGTGCGCCAACCCCTCATGACCCATAGACCGCCCTGTCAGGGCTTCGCAGACCAGGATGCCTTGGACCTGCCACGCTTCGAGCAAGCGATGAATCTCATCCTGGGGCGAGACGGGTTCCTGGATCAGTTGAAGCGAGCCCAAAATTCCACACTCGTGGGTGAGCAAGCCATGGTGCATCAAGCCCGGAAAGATTGTGCTAGGTGTGGGGTTGTTAGATTTTAAACTCGACTCTTTTTCTCGCCCGCAACTCTTCTCCTCGCCCGGTCTACTCTTCACTCATCTCTGGAGTGCCCAACCCTAAAGTATCCCAGAGTGTCCCCGGAGTCCCAGCCCCAGAGTCTCCCTGGAGTGCCCAACCCCAGAGTCTCCCTGGGGTGCCCAACCCTCGAAGGGCGCAGCTCCAGAGTCTACCTAGAGTGCCCAACCCCAGAATCTCCCTGCCCAACCCCGGAGTGGCCGCAGAGTCTCCCTCCAGAGTCTCCCTGAGTGCCCAATACCAAGAGAGGGTAGGGATGTTCGAAGTAAAAGAATAGCTAATTTGTTGTTGCTTGCGTCGTCAACTTGTTTCAGTCATGCATAGCACAGGTTCTCCAAGCAGGAGTATGACGAGTTCGCAAGCTTGTTCGTCATGCACGACAAGGATAACTCAGGCTTCGACTTCGGTGATACATCCGTAGCTAGGAAAGTTCATGAAGCAAAACAAAAAGCATCTACACATATGTATATATATATATATGTATTCTCACACACACACATGTGTGTGTGTGTGTGTGTGTGTGTGTGTGTGTGTGTGTGTGTGTGTGTGTGTGTGTGTGTGTGTGTGTGTGTGTGTGTGTGTGTGTGTGTGTGTATGTGGTGTGTCTGTGTGTGGTGGTGTGTGTGTGTGTGTGTGTGGTGTGTGTGTGTGTGTCTGTGTGTGTGTTGTGTGTGTGTGTCTGTGTGTCTGTGTGTGTGTGTGTGTCTGTGTCTGTGTCTGTCTGTGTGTCTGTGTCTGTGTCATGTGTGTCTGTGTCTGTGTCTCTGTGTCTGTGTCTCTGTGTCTGTGTCTCTGTGTCTGTGTCTCTGTGTCGCTGTGTCTGTGTCTCTGTGTCTCTGTGTCTGTGTCTCTGTGTGTCTCTGTGTCTGTGTCTCTGTGTCTGTGTCTCTGTGTGTGTGTCTCTGTGTGTCTCTGTGTGTGTCCTGTGTGTGTCTCTGTGTAGTGTCTGTGTGTGTCTGTGTGTGTCTGTGTCAGTGTGTCTCTGTGTGTGTGTGTCTGTGTCTGTGTGTGTGTGTGTGTGTGTCTGTCTGTGTGTCTGTGTTGTGATGTCTGTGTGTCTGTGTCTGTGTGTCCTGTCTGTGTCTGTGTGTCTGTGTCTGTGTGTCTGTGTGTGTGTGTGTGTGTCTGTGTGTGTGTGTGTGTGTGTCTGTGTGTGTGTGTGTGTGTGTCTGTGTCTGTGTCTGTGTCTGTGTCTGTGTCTGTGTGTGTGTGTGTGTGTGGCTCTGTCTCTGTGTGTGTGTGTGTGTGTGTGTGTGTGTGGCTCTGTCTCTGTGTGTGTGTGTGTGTGCCTCTGTGTGTGTGTGTGTGTGTGTGTGGCTCTGTCTCTGTGTGTGTGTGTGTGAGTGTGTGTCTCTGTGTGTGTGGGTGGCGCAGTGTATTGTTTACGGCACATCAGCCTTGAAGCGTCGCAGCTCTTGCAGAGCTGCTAGGCAAAACAAAACACATGTCGATGCCGCACCAGAAACCAGAAGGCTAGCTACTCACGGCTAGCTGCATTGCCAGTGGGGTTTCGCCTCCCTTGGTCGATCTAGAAGATGCTATACAAAGTCTGAGCTCATCGTCATAAAGTTGCAAAAGGCTCAGACTTCGGGCACCTACGACATACTTGTATGATTAAGGCCAGACTCAACAGAAGTAAGCGAGCCGGCGCACATGTTGTTACAAAGGCCTTATCCGTAAACTGGCGGCTGACTCCTCAAGCACCGTGGCGCAGGTGAGATCGACAGCTCGGAGCTCATGGTGATGCTTCACTGGCTAGGATTCTCAAGCTGCGTCTCCCGGGCCCAGGAGTTGCTTGATCAGGCCCCAGGGCGGAAAAAACCATGTGTCGACCTAGGGGGATGTGTCCGATATGTTGCTTCATGACTGCAACGTTTCGTTCAATTCTGCTGCTAGGGCATCTGAAGCCCTCTGGTACTGGTACCGATGGAAATCATGGATCTTTAGGGTGGATGTTTCCATGGTCAGAGCCGACCGGCAGGTGGATCGCGACGGGAATGGTGAAATGAATCACATGGAGCAGCTTGGCCATGGTTGAGTATGTCCTTCGCACAGAGACCCACTGCTGGTGAAGTGGAATGATACCCTGATGCAGCCAAGGTTCACGTCATGCATGCGGCTTGTGCGAGATGTCGAGCTTCATGCAGTGAAGAAGTTGATCCAGGCAACGCAAGGGCATCTCTTCTGACACCATCCTTCTCGCGATGGTGTTCCAATTCCCATCTGACCCACGTCAGAGTAGAATAAGGCTTTCATGAAGCTGGGGGGGGGGGGGGGGGGCACCGTCACCTCCAAGTGTATGAAATGCGTGTCTGCAACGTCCCGCGCAGGAAGTCGATGCTGATCACAGTGGCACACTGTCCGTACCCAGTCCGAACGTGTGGATTGTACTATGGAGTTAAATACGGTACTGCCCCCCCCCCAACCCAAAAGGGACCCCTACGATTCCACAACCTCCCCATATGAAGAACATTGTGGAACGCTTCTAGCACTGGCCCTAAGGTATCAGAAATCCCGGCCTTGCTCCGCCGTCTCGGATACGAAACCTGGGACCCCAAGGCGGGATTAAAGCCACGGCTTTCACACTGAGCCGAAAGCACGTGATCCGCTCTGCATATTTTTCTCCACTAGCTCTGCTAGGTCATTTTCGAGATTCTTGCCGATGTCGGCTTGGCAGGAAAGGAGGAGTTGCTTGGCGATGGGGGGTCGATAAAGTTGACAAAGCCCATGGGTTGACTACTGTATGCAGTTTGAGGCAGTGAACCTCTCACCCGACTTAAACCTGCTGTAGCGAGGCTTGAGCTTGGAGATGCGTGGAGGCTGCTGATGGGGAAGCTCGGCGTTGAAAAAATGGCCAAGGGACTCGCGGAGCGCCTGAGAAGCGAGCAGGGTCCATGTGACGCCCAGGTATCGACGTAACGAGGGCTTCTGCCGCGACGATCGACAGGACAGCCTGTAGCCTGGCCTGCTCAGACCATTGCTTGAGCAAGGCCGATTCTTGAATACACGATCACCTGGGCAGGCGTTGGAGTCGGTATTCCACCAGCACGACGAGGACCAAAAGTCCACGACATCTTGCTGATCTTGCTGTGAGAGCAGTGCTGCTGCGTGCTGAGGTGTACAGTAGCCTCAGTAGCCCCGCGCTTGTTTTCTACA